CTTTGCCCAGATCTTTTGAGGATTTGTGAGCTCCTCACACAATCCACCCTGGTTAAACCCAGGATTAATCGTAGGCAGGCCAGCCTAAATGTTCCATTAGGGGGGGTCCACGTTTCGCAAGCGTAGAGAAGGGAGGGAATGACCGTGGCCGAGAAGACCTGAAGCTTTGTGCGGAGCGACAGACCAGGTAGCTTCCACACAGCGTTACGCAACCGATGAAAAGATATTGCCGCTCGACTGATTCGGAGTGAGACCTCTGCCGTTAAACCGGAGCCGGTCATGAGCACACTGAGACACACACACAAACACACATACACAAACACACAACAACAACAACCACCATTCGCCACTAAGTGGCGGTGACGTCACCACGACGCTTGTGCCAGGCTATGTGCACCCTGAGGCCACGTGAAGTGTCGAACGCCCGCTGGCAGGAGGTCACGGGGCAGACCCAGCAGGTGCCACGGGTCGACTGACTGAGATGACTGGCTGATGCACCACCTGTGCCCCCTACTGTGCCAACCTGCTGTGCTTTAGCCACCCGCCGCTCCACTCGTTGTTGTGAGCGTCGCTCCTCCGCCCTCCGTTGTTGTTGGAGGGCGACTGCCTCCAACTGCCCAGTAGCATCCTTCACGAGCCTCCTCCACAGAGGCCGATCTTGACACCGCTGGTACCAGTCATCGGCAAGTCCACTCAGCTCCACGTCCTCCTGTACCACATCACTCCATCTCTTCTCTAGCCCGTGCCGCGCCCGCTTAGCCCCCTCAATCCGGCCAAACAAAAGCTGTTTCGGCATGCGGTGGCTGGGCATGCGGGCTACATGACCCAGCCATCGCAGCCTTGCCTGCCGGAGGAGCTCACCGATGGGACCCTGCCCAGATCTTTCAAGGATTTGTGAGCTCCTCACACAATCCAGTCTGGTTAAACCCAGGATGGATCGTAGGCAGGTCAGCCTAAATGTTTCTAACCGGCGAAGATGTTCCATTAGGGGGGGTCCACGTTTCGCAAGCGTAGAGAAGGGAGGGAATGACCGTGGCCGAGAAGACCTGAAGCTTAGTGCGGAGCGACAGACCAGGTAGCTTCCACACAGCGTTACGCAACCGATGAAAAGATATTGCCGCTCGACTGATTCGGAGTGAGACCTCTGCTGTTAAACTGGAGCCAGTCATAAGCACACTGCCCAGGTATGGGAAACTCTCCACTCTCTCTACAACTGCTCCATCACCGATTGGGAGTTGTGGGGGTGGAGTGTCCGATGGTACAAAATACCCAGGCAGGTGCTTAGTTTTGGTGGGGCTGATGGTAAGGCCCCACCTCTTAGTGGCACGCTCCAGTCTCAGCAGCAGCGTCTGCAACTCCTCCTCTGAGCAGCTATTACCAAGTCATCAGCATACATAACGTGGTTGAGCAATAGGGAGCCATCCCTTGACCGCACCCGGGCATCGATTAGCCTCCCATTATATCTGTACCATATGGAGATTCCCCCGGTACAGCTATTGAAGGCTTCACGAACTACGTGGTCAAAATAGATGTTAAATAATGTGGGAGCCAGAGGACATCCCTGTCGCACCCCAAGGTGTACAGGGAATGGCTCTGACTCCCGGCCACGTAGTTTTACCCGGGCCCGCTCACCATCATGAAGGTCCTTAATGATCGTGAGCAGAGGGTCAGGTACTCCAAAAGCACGAAGAACGACCCAGAGCCCAGGCCTACTGATGGTATCATAGGCCTTGACCAGGTCAATAAAGCAGAGATGTAGGTCTTGTTGGAATTCCCTACACCTCTGCTGTAGCAGACGGACAGAAAATATGGCATCTGTGCAGGACCGCCCTTTCCTGAAACCGCATTGGGGCTCCGCAAGCCTCTCCTCAGCGTGCCTGGCAAGGCGATGCTGAATAATCCTTGCCAGGACCTTTCCCGGCACACTGAGGAGTGAGATGCCCCTGTAGTTGTTACAGTCTGTGCGGTCCCCCTTCTTAAAAAGGGGGACCACCAGGGCATCCTTCCAATCCTGCGGAACCCGTCCAGTGGTCCAGACTGTTGTTATGATGTTATATCGGGCAGTCTGTGCACAAACGCCACCCTCCCTCAGCATTTCGCTTGGGAGATCATCTCTGCCCGCTGCCTTTCCTGGTCTCAGACTCCGGATCGCCTTCAATACTTCCTCAGCAGATGGCACCTCAGCCAGCCACTCACAGGGGGTGACTTCATCCAATATTTGAGGCACCGCAGCCTCAGCAGGGTCATCCTCACTTTGTGCCACGATGTTTTCCTGGCTGTGGGATTTTCCCTCCCCCAGGACCTCACAGAAATGCTCAGCAAATCTGCGAACCTGTTCCTGGGGGTCGGAAATTGGATCACCGTTTTTTCCCCTAATGATGGTAATAGGTGTGGCGCTGCAGGTTACTTTTTTGATGGAGTTAAATAGCGATTTGTGATCACGGGCCACTGAGGCAGACTCCATCTCCTCAGCAACCCGCGACCACCACCCATCCTTGCAGCGCCTCACGGCTCTCCGAACCTCCGAGCGAAGGCTGCGGTAAGCCTCCTCATTCTCTGACGTGGGATTCTGTAGCCGATGACAGTGGGCCTGTCGCTTTTTCTCAACCATCCTGAACAACTCCTCTGTCATCCAGGGTGTCTGGGGAGGTCTGGACCGCGTACCCAAAGCAGCCATTGCAGCTGCATGAGTCACAGTCCTAAACCTCGCCCATTTACCCTCGACATCAGGAGGAGTCGGGGACGATGCCAATCCCAGCCGCAAGCGATGATGAAATTCTCGCTTGCAACTTTCATCAGATAACTGAGACCAGGCCACTTTAGGTTGGAATGGGGTCCTGGGTGTACACCCACCACCGGAGTGGAAGAATGGCAGGCGCATCTTACAGATGACTAGTCGATGGTCAGAGGGCAGATCAGCTCCACGGTAGGTCCTGGTGTCAAGGACATGGGCTCGCATTCGCTGGTCCGTCACTATGTAGTCCAGCAGATGTTCTTGCTTGGACCCGGCATGCATCCATGATGTTGTGTGGATGCGCCGATGCCGGAACAGCGTGTTGGTAATTACAAGCCCATGGGCTGCACAAAAATCTAGCAGCCTCCTACCATTGTTATTGAGCTGATCTGGCCCATGCCCTCCAATCACTCCAGACCAGGTGCCAGTATCATGACCAACTCGGGCATTGAAGTCACCCAACATGATGACTCTATCCCGAGGGGCCACTTTAGCCAGCACCTGTGACAGGAGGTCATAGAAGGCATCTGACTCATCGGCTTTGCCTGCATCCCTCCACGGATGTTCATCTTCGGTGGGGGCATAAGTAACCACGACCACCATTCCTCGCCTCCGGTTGATGGGAAGGCGAGCCCAAAGTAGCCTGGGGCTTACAGCTTCCCACACCTCACCGCCACGCTCCCACGCCCCCTTCATTCTTTTGTTCAAAAGAAGACCCACACCCTGTTGTTTGGCAGTCTGCTGCCCCGAGTAGAGGACTGTCCACCCCTCATGGTGGCAGGAGCCAGAGCCGGTCCACCGGACCTCCTGAATGCCGCATAGATCCAGGCGGTACCGGTCCAGCTCCCGACAGAGGAGTGGCAGCCTCTCCTCTGCAGTGAGCGTTCGAACATTCCACGTGGCCACCCGTAGTGGCTTTTCGTTGTTTCTGGAGTAGCCCCGAGGGTAGGTATTCAATCTCCTGGCTCCGCCAATTGGGGTTTGGCCAGGAGACGTCATAGACGCCTGGCCCCCCGGGGCCTCCGGCACAAGCTTAGTTGTTACATATTTCACTTTAATTCGTGGTTTTGTGGTAATTAATTGAAGGTGGAGGGGTTACCAGCCCCTCGCACCCGTCCAGAGCCCCCGTTTAGCCCCTGTGGTGGACACATATGCCATGAGGGGAGGAGCCAATCAAAATTGGAACTCCCCCCACAGCACTGTCCACGACAGAGTTGCCCGTCCGGCACCGCGAGGAGGTAGGGGGTTGTTTTGCCGCACACACACACTGACACACACACACACACTGACACACACACACACTGACACACACACTGACACACACACACTGACACACACTGACACACACACACACACTGACACACACTGACACACACACACACACACTGACACACACACACTGACACACACACACACTGACACACACACACACTGACACACACACTGACACACACACACTGACACACACTGACACACACACTGACACACACACACACACTGACACACACACACTGACACACACACAAGAACCAACGTAGTTCATCACCTCGCGTTCACACAGGGGAGGAGGGGGGGGGACTCCCCCCCCCCTCCAGAACTCTTTAATGGTCGACCACTGTAACATCCAGCAGTGTACAGAAAATGGCCGGCAAAACACACACACAGACACACTGACACACACACACTGACACACACACTGATACACACACACACACTGACACACACACACACACACCACACACTGACACACACACACACACAGACACACACACACACTGACACACACACACACACACACACTGACACACACACACACTGACACACACACACTAACCACACACACACACTGACACACACACACACTGACACACACACACACTGACACACACACACTAACCACACACACACACTGACACACACACACTAAACACACATACTCAGACACTCACACACACATACATACCAAGTGACCCAACAGTCCACCACGGCTATACGGGAGATCTTTGTCTTTGTAGGGGTGCGTGTGTGCGTGTGCGTGTGCTTGTGTGCGTGTGTGCGTGCGTGTGTGCGTGTGTGCGTGTGCGTGTGCGTGTGTGTGTGTGCGTGTGTGTGTGTGCGTGTGCGTGTGTGCTTGTGTGCGTGTGTGCGTGTGTGTGCGTGTGTGTGTGTGTGTGCGTGTGTGTGTGGTGCGTGTGTGTGTGCGTGTG